GTAGGGTTGCTGTGAGTCGGAATCAACTCAATGACAGTGGGTTTGGTTTTTGGCTTGTACACAGCGATACACCAGATTAGACTCCAAAATATCTCCCAGGACTAGGATCGAACAGTGCCATCACTTTCTTTGTTCAGACATTTTCAAATGCTTATACCTTTTAATGCTGAAAATTTCCTGTTTTTCAAAGTTAATGTTTGCACCGTAACCAAAAGCAACACTTTAAAAAGCTATATGGTTGAATAGAATGTATCTGGAATGTCTGCATGAAAGAGGTAACAGTGGTTGCAAGTTGGAGAGGAACTGGGTCCTCATGGACACGGTAAGGGCAATGTCATTTTGGTGCCATTTGAATTATGCCCAGGGGCATGCTTTACATATTCAAATATAAGTAAAATTTTAAATGTATGATTTTTCTATTTAAAGATTCCTTTCCACCAATCCCATTTCACACCCACCTCCACTGCCCAATTCGAAGAATATTCCCTTCTAGTAAATTCTGTTATTACATCTCCTATGGGATCATGAGCACAGTTACTAAAACACTTCAGCCATTAATATCTGTTAATTAGAAACCCTGGTGGTGTAGTGGTTAAGTGCTACAGCTGCTAGCAAAAGGTCAGCAGTTTGGATCTGCCAGGCACTCCTTGGAAACTCTATGAGGCAGTTCTACTCTGTCCTATAGGGTCGCTGTGAGTCGGAAGCGACATGACGGCAAAGGGTTTGGCTTTTTTTTTTTTTATATCTGTTAATTGTGCCAACAAGCTATAATGTAAACTTTAAAACAATTTTACACAATTATACCTTATTAGAAACAATTTGACTGCATTAAGTGTGCCTTTTATGTAAATCTGTGTAATTATCAATTTAGAAGTTGAGGAGCTAAAATTATAGTGTGCTTTTTCTGAGAAAAGACCTACAGAGAAGTGTCACTATTTGGACTTGAAGAGAAAGTTTACGCAGAAGAACTTAAGGCAGATATTTACACCAAAATATATTTTCATTTTCCAGAAATGCAATTATAAAATATTATCTCTATTGTTTTAAGCATTTCTGTTGTGGTATATGGCAATCAATGCTTGCAAGTTCTTCTTGAGCATTTGCTCTGTGGGAGGAGATATGAAGAGAGACAGACATACAAGATATTGATCTGCCCACACAGAACATACAGAAAAACAAAGTGTTTACTCATGAAAACTTACATGTTTCATTTAATAATGAAAAAACAGGTTGACAGCACTCCCCAGCAAAATTCAGCATCACCAGTTTTAATATAACATGGTTGATTCTCAAATATTACCAAGGGCCATCAAGATAAAAGCTTCTTTAATAAGCAAATGTCCCAATTCTAGTGTGTGTTTTATTTTGGAAGCCTTTTTCGTCTTTGCAAAGATCAGTTAAATCACAAGACCACAATCAACCCCCCTGTCTGATGGCCCTGGTTGATGCATAAGTGCGTTCCTTCACAAGAAGCCTCAGGAAACCTCATGGGACATGCTCTGACCACTAGACTGTAGAAATTTGAAGAGCAGGCCCTTCGACTAGGACTTTCACTGAACTTCCCACAGCGCCAACTATGTTGTGTTCTTGATGAGCATTTAGCAGAAGTCACTGACTAGCTGACTAATTGATCTGTGGGTAGCTGTCAGGAGAACCGATATCTTTTTAAATGAAAAAACCAAACCCACTCCCGTCAAGTCGATTCCGACTCATAGCAGCCCTGTAGGACTAAGTAGAACTGCCCCATAGGGTTTCCAAGGCCATAAATCTTTACGGAAGCAGATTGCCACATCTTTCTCCCGAGGAGCAGTTGGTGAGTTCGAACTGCTGATCTTTCAGTTAGCAGCCGAGTGCTTTAACCACTGCACTACCAGGGCTCCTGGTATCTTATTACTAAAGAACAAGTGAAAGGAAGATTCCAGAACAACCGCAATGAGTTTCTGCCTAGGATGCACTGATGTGGTAGGAGTCACAGGGTAAATGAAAAAATCAGGGAGCTTGAGTTGATCAGTTATTTGAGTGCATGAACAATTCAGTCTCCTGAGGATGATTTGTAAGGGAAATTTCCTAGCTGAGGAACTAGCAGAGACCGCAATATTTGTAAGATATCTTTAACTAAATAAACGATGCATTGACTTGCTGAAGTAATAACAAGTTAGAGATCCCTGATGTCGTAGAAGTCAAGTTAGACATATGGGTGGGTAGGAGACATTAAGACATAGTGATAAACAAAGCCCAATGGAAATTTAAAACGGCAACAACAAAAAGGAAATTATAGACTCATTTGTGGTTCTCATAAATCATAAATGTATCTTTAGTTATATGATTTTTGAATGTGATTCTTCAAGCTTTTACTATGTGCTAGGCATTGTGGTAGGGACTTTTCATACATTACTTCTTTTTTTTCCCTAAATTTTCTTTGTTTCGTTGTTGTTGAGAATATACACAGCAAGAGAAACACCAATTAAGCAGTTTCTACTTGTGCAGTTTAGTGACATTGGTTACATTCTTCGAATTGTGCCCTCATTCTCACCCTCCTTTTCTGAGTTGTTCCTCCCCATTAACATAAACTCACTGCCTCCTAAGGTTCCTATCTAAACTTTCAAGTTACTGTTGTCAATTTGATCCCATATAAATAGTACTTAAGAGAGCATAATGCTCATGGAAGACCTTTTTCACTTAAGCTAAACTATTTTTCAGTTTTAAGAAGACTTTAGGGATGTTTTTAGCTTAAGGTTTAAAGATTTTCTCTGGGCTGTAGTTTCAGGGGTTCATCCAGCCTCTTATGACTCCAGTAAGTCTGGAGTCCACAAGAATGTGGAATTCAGTTCTCTATTTTTCCCCCTTTTGATCAGGATTCTTCTGTGGAATCTTTGATCAGAATGTTTAGTAACGATAGCCGGGCACCATCCAGTTCTTCTGGTTTCATGGCAAAGGATGCAGTTGTACATGGAAATAATTAGCCACATATTCCAAACCCACCTCCTATTCCTGACTCTCCTTCTTCCTCTGTTGCTACCAGGTGAATAGAGACCACCTGTTGTGCCTTGGATGGCTGCTTTTAATACTTACAACAATCCTATAAGAGAGGAAAAGTTATTATCCTCATCTTATGTAGTGGGGAAACTGAGGCCAGGGAGATGAGCTAACTTACCTAATGCCACACAACCATAAAGCCATGGAACTTGGGTTTACGACGGCTATATTTTTTGTTGTGAATGTTCATAAGACATTATGGTCAGGGAAAGCAACCAGTACGGGGGTACAGGATGGGGGCTGTTTCCATCACCAGGAAAATATCGGCTGTTCTCTTTCCCTTAGCTGAACTCGGATGGTGGATAATCATTACACTCTAGACCACAAATCGTTATGTCTTCACCAGTAATCAGCTCGTGCGCTGGGCATGCACACAAAAGCGGGACTTGTGAGACTTGCATTGATTTAGGTGGTGAGCCTGCCTTGAATGTATTATTATAATTTAGATTTTGGGAAAAGAAAGAAAAATCCAAACAAAATTTCTTCCTGTGTCTTGAGGTTTATGGGCATGGAGAGAATACCTGTATCCTCTAGTGTAGCAGACCCTTCTGAGCTCTAACTTCAACTCTAATATTCCCTGTCCTACTACCTCAAAGGTATTTTGAATGGAATAAATACATTCTAGTTACTGTCTCTTTCCTTTCGTAGATCATTTACCTCTCTAGCGAACATTTTCTTTCTTCTAAAGTGGGGTTAGTTTTATGACAGCATATTCAGATGCTGATGGTTAATTAGTCATCTGATGTCTATTAAAAGGGAGAGTGGTAAAAGCAGTTATTTGTGAACTGAGCTAGAATTAATGAAGTTCCTACTGACTTGATTGAAAACAAACATGGAAATCCTTCTAAAATGTTTGCTTTTGTTTTTCTAGATGCAATCTTCCTCCCCTATCAAGTGAATACACTAAAGATGTTGGGTCCAGAAGTCACCTAGTGACAGCCAATCCCAGCATAATTCGGCAAAGGTAAGAGTTTATGACTCCTGATTGAGAGAAACTAAAGGGGAAGGCTAGTGAAGTGTTCATCATCTTGAAGGCAGTGAACATAATTCAGTTTGGGAAACAAAGAAGCAAACCATCTGAACAGGCAGGAAGGATGAAAGGGGGAATTGTAAATAAGCTAGGCAGGATTATGGGAATCCAAACAGCATTTCACACTTCCTTCTGAGATTTTGTTTCTTGCCATTAGACATGGTAGAAATAACATGAGAATCAATTGTTTCACTCTAAGAAGCAACACTATATCCTGCTTACTCATCACTACTACTTTCCAGTTATACTGGCTTCAGTTCCAACCCACTGATTGGCAACTGTGGATTGAAGTAATATAAAAAATGAAAACAAAGAAATGACTGATCTACTGCATATGCATGCATTAAAACAGCAATATTTTCAAAATGTTCTTGAATGTGTATATTATATATGATATTACATTACATTATACTGTATTATATTCAATCAGATTTTGGAAAGCAGATGGAAAATTCTTGCTCTAGTAATGATTCCAGAAATGTTGGCAGCTGCTCTGAGGGTTGCTGGGGGTCAGCCTCTATTTGATAAAGCCCCATCAGGCAGCTAGCAGCTATTTCTCCAAGGACTATTGTAGAGAATGATTCCATCTTTGTGAAAAGAGGAATGGCACATTGCGTTTAGACCTTCCTGTGTCCTTAGAAATTAGAGGTGAAATAGCAAGACATTCTGGGTTCAGGGACTTGTCTTCTGAGGAAGTTCTGTCCAAGTGAATGGCACAGGTGTGTCACTTGCCAAGCAGTGCTGCACTACTTGTTTGGGTTCAGAAGTAAGTATTCCCCAAAATAGGTATCTAGAAATGGACTCAAATGATTTTTAATTTTGACTGATACTGTGAAATTACTCTCCCAAAATGTACCGCTTACTCTGTCTCCAGGAATAAGACTGCCTGTTTCCCATACTTAAAACAACACCATGTACTTTTAATCTTCTCAATTTTTGTCAGCTTGTTGAGTGAAAATGATACCTCATTTTTTATATAATTTGCATTTCTTTTATTAAAACAAATTCCATAAAGGAAAAGACAAATTTTATTGCATAAAATTTCTTAAACTTTGATAGGACGTAAGCTGAAAGATATGTAACAGACTAGGAGAAAATATTTGCCGCATATATAGAAAACAAAGACTTAATATCTATAATGTAACTAGTTGTTATAAGTTAATAAGAAAATGTTTTAAAAAAAGAAAGCAAAAAAAAAAAAAAAGCAAAAAACACAAACAGGCAATTCACAGAAGAAGAAACACTAATAGTCAATAGTACATTCTAACATCTGCTTCAAGTGGCTAGCAATACGTGCGAACAGGGTGGTTGACAAAGTGCAAACATTTGTATGTGGGATGAAAATATAGATGATGGTGTTACACCATAATGGCACACTGAAGTGGAAGAAATAAAATTGAAGTAAGAAAGGCATTATGTATTTCTGTGTTATGAAATTATCCTGTTTATATTAAGTAGTTTATTCATATCTTGTAGTCTTCTCTCAAAGCTGTGACAGACCAAGACGTCAGCAGTGTTTTATACTTTCATGCAACTTAAAACTAAGTCCGTTGGACAAAGAAGTGCTGTGGGTATGCTAAGTACTATTACTTTTCATAGCTGTCCTCAAAAGCCTTGGTCTATAAAAATATTACATTGAGAGCTAAAAGAATTATGAATTTTCACTACAAAATACTCTTAGAAAATTGGTAAAAACATAAAACAGGTTTGATGAAAATTTAATAACTATGAGACGCACACATGATTATGGTAGCAAAAGTAAGGTTAGAGAAGGCAGTTTTTATTGATGTATGTAAGAGAAATTCTCAGTAAGGAAGAGCTTTGCTCCAGTCTTACTTTGTTAGAACAGTTTGTTTAGAGGACATTCTACTTGGTACCACCCAGAACAAAAAGATGCGTTAGGGTGTCTGGGACATGGTGTTAGAAAAGGCGTTGTAGTCACCTTTATCTTCTGATTGTAGGTTTTATGGTCTAGGAGAAGAGAGGTTGTTACGATACCGGCAGCAGAGATGGTTGGATTTTCAAATCCACTGTTAGTGTCCACTTCCTTTTGTTGTTTGCTGGCTTTTGTAGGTGGATGCTAGTAAGGATCCAGTTATGGGATTATCTTCCATCAACATACCACCTCTAACCCATTGGTCTTCAAACATTTTTGTTCAAACACCTTTTAAAAGGATTTAAAAAATTCACCATTATCTGTCACTGAACTGTGCATGTAGAAATTTTTGAAATGGTGTATCCTTGGCTATGTATATTTTCACCAAAAAAAAAAAGGTTGAGAAGGGAGAGGGTTGACGTGTTGTGGGGTTGTTAACCAATGTCATAAAACAATGTGTGTACTACTGTTTCATGAGAAGCTATTTGTTCTGTAAACCTTCACCTGAAGTACAATTTAAAAAAAAATTAAAAAAAAATTCATCATTATCTCCTGGATAATTTTTAAGTTGATATTTGTTCTTTTTTGGTATAAAGCTAAATTGTTGCCAAGTACATACAATATAACATTGTATACTGAGCATGGGCTTTAAATGTGTGTTGTAGCTGTCATCTCAGAGGTGTAGATTTAGCTCTTTTGATGCTACACGTCCTCATGGCAAAGGCAGTGCTCTTTGTTAAATTATTTTTTTTAAGTTGACCTTCTGTCAGAAAAAGACTGACTTTATTTTTAATTCAAATAAGTGTTAAGATGTAACCTCGTATAGTGATCTCCATTCTGAAATATAATTATTTAACATATAAATAAAGCATGGAGATTTGCTAAGAGTTTATCCTTTGGATAAACTAAGGCACAGCCCCTTTTTTATTTCCTGTAAAACTCTTTTTGCTTTTTCTCAGGGGACAACCCCTGAGGACTAATGTATTAGGATTTTTTTTTTTTTGTGGCCAGGAGGTTTTTATCTCCTGCACTATTGTAATATTTGGGAATGTAGGAGGTATACTTTTTTGGGGGGGAGTGGAAAAAGGACAATTATGAAAGTAGATTTTGGAAAAGATGTTCTTCTTTACATAGATTAGTTTCGAGCAGATAAATTTTAGAGAAGTATACGTATGAAGGTTGAGAATCTGGAAATTTATGGGGAAGAGGGAGGTTAAAATGGGAGCTTCACAGGAATAGCGCTGCAAAGGCATCATTCAGCAAATGTTTATTGAAATCTACGCTGGGGCAGAGAATACAAAGTTGAATGAGACATGGTTCCAACACTGAAGGAGCTCACAGTTCACAGGCATTCCCTTGGAACTTTAGGTCCATGGAAATGCTTCCGGGGGAGTTCTGAACCTCTTCTGAAATTTACCCAAAATTTTCCTATTTGTGCATTTTTCATCAGATTTTCCAAGGAGTTCACCACTCATAAAAGGTTAAAATTCACTGAGCTAAACTAAGTCATTTCACAGTAATATGAGATAAAAGTAGAGATGAGAGTTCATAAAGTTTGTTTCTCAATTTTTCAGTAAAGTTGAAAACTCAATCAGCCATTTTGCCCATAACAGGAGTTCATGATGTTCCCAAGGACAGTATTTATTTCAGATTGTTAAATGTGAATTTCAGCTTCAGCAGGAGGAAAAATGAGGCAGAAAGATTTCTTGAAGCCAGTAGGACAGCATTGGCTGTGTGACTTAACATACTTAACTACTCTCTACATGTAGCATGATAGCAAAAAGTTTAACAATTGATGTTAACTGCCATTGAGATGGCCCCCAACTCCTGACAACCCTGTGCGCAGCGAAATGAAACACCGCCTGGTCCTGTGCCGTTGTGTTAATTAGTTGGGGATCAGACCTTTGAGAATCCATAGGGTTTCATTGCTGATTTTCGGAAGTAGATCGCCAAGCCTTTCTTTCTAGTTCATCTTAGTCTGAGAGCTCTGCTGAAACCTGTTCAGCATCTTAGTAACATACCATCCTCCACTGACAGGCTGGTGGTGGCTGCAGATGAGGTGCACGGTCTGGGAATGGAACTAGGTCTCCTGCACGAAAGGCGAGAATTCTTATCACTGAACCGTCAATGCCTCTTAACAACTGATACCAGAATTCTGTTTCAAAAATGCTCTGCTGTGTATAGAATGATTTCTTTGCTAATTTCTGAGGGTGGAAGAGAGACTCAAGGGCCCAAGTGTTGGTTCCAAGATTGGATCTGAGTAATAGAAGAGTGTGGAATTATTGGGATGAGCCAGAAGAAGGGAGAAGGGCTAGAGAAGAGAGAGGAGCTAACAGGTAGTGAAGCAGCAGGAGGGAAATCTTTGGGAACCTGAGGCTTCAAAAGAACTGAAAAGTCTAAAATTAATTGTAAATTATTTTTCAGAAAGTATGTCCTAAGATTATTTCCCCTTGACCCCCTCTCCCCTTTTCTGGCTCTTCAGATTTCTGATATAGCCTTGCATCTTTATATACGATGTCTGTGTGTCTGTGTGTGTGTGTGTGTGTGTGTGTGTGTGTGTGTGTACAGATGTGAAGGGCCTGTGTGTTACCTATGATCAACATGGTTTGTGCTCTGAATGTGAGCAGTAATGGCTTGTAGGAGGTGGAGAGGACCTTGAAATTGTAACCCTTCTAGGAATTTGCAGATTGAAAATCTGGGAAGTGCTACGTTTTTACTGTCTGCATGCCCTTTTTGGAATGTAGAGACACCCTCTTAGCTCACAAAGATATTTCGTTATAGCCAAGGCATTTGTGCCCCAGTTTAACTGTGGGAGGCAACCTTAAGTGTATAATATGAAAGTGGCTAATTATCTTACCAAACTCCATATGTGCCAAGAGGTTCTTGGGGCAAAATTGTAGGGCTCCATCTGTGATAATTCCATTTTACAGAGTTGTTATGTTTTCACTGATTTTGTGTTGTTCTGCTATTAATGAATTTTCCTAATTATCCTCATGAAAAAGTATGAGTAATTATTTATTAATATGTGCAGTCTGTGAATATTTCTATAATTTCTGTG